TTCTAGTATTTACAGGTACTTGGTCCATCAGACCAAGTAACTATTCTAGTATTTACAGGTACTTGGTCCATCAGACCAAGTAACTATTCTAGTATTTACAGGTACTTGGTCCGTCAGACCTAGTAACTATTCTTGTTTTTACAGGTACTTGGTCCATCAGACCTATGCTGCTACGTTCCCTACCACTAGGATGGAGGATGTACCTGATTCCTTCCATTCGATGAACCATGCTGAGAGGATGATGAAGAAAATGGAGGGCTATGTTTCTAAGCGACAATTGTGTGATGTTGTGTTACTAGTTGGAAACAAACGTATCCCCGCACACAGACTCGTTCTTAGCGCAGCATCGGATTACTTTGCTGCCATGTTTACTAATGATGTAAGGGAGGCAACTATGGAGGAGATCAAAATCAATGATGTTGATCCTGATGCCATGGTAGCCATTGTGAACTATTCCTACACCGGTAAGTCAATCAGAGGTTAAAGGTCATCTTCAAACAATTCACCTTCAAAAATGTTTTCCAAATTAGATATCTGGTTTATTCGCATATTTAGAATTTTGATTCTATGTTTGTTGCATGTTCTCCATTTCTGTCAGCTGGCATGGGCATCTGATCCAGTCTGTAACCGATGTGTTTCACCAACAATCATTACTGAGCTTGGATTTATATTGAAAACTTATATAGTGTGGTACCACTATAATGGTCCAAAAATGCAGAAATGTATCGGTCAAAAATGTTTACAAAATTACTTAAAGGTTTGTGTCTGCTATATTTTTGAATGACAATAGAATGGATGGCACATTTTAAGTTTCCATTCCTAACTATCATATCATCACAAATTGTCGTCATTCTGTTCCCCATATGTTTAAATAGATTGAAGAATAAACAGCAAAATACCAACAAACAGTTACATATTTGAGTTCATACAACACTTATACAACCAGGTATAACATCAAAGGAATGTGAAGCAGGGGGGCAAGGTGGTACCAGAAGTTAGTAGGTAGATTGGTGTAGATCATGTCTTTTTATTTTCCATTTAGCAACAGTGTCCTCAGGCTAGATAATGTACATGATGTATCTGGGTCCAATGAAAATTACTTGTATAAGTGAGACTTCAACACACTGATTCATCAAATGAGTGAAATGGATAGGTTCTCGTTCTGCAAGATACTTAAAATTTGGGTGTATATTTATTATATACATGTCTTACAAATAAAAGGTGTATATGTTGCTAACTTCCTAAATTCACTAGATTAAGAACACATTCTTTTGAACTACTCGATTTTAGTCCACTTTAAGGTTACAAGTGAGAGATTAATACATGGTGAGCGATGCAGGCCCATTGGACCTCTTGTTACCATTTTTTTTTATCTAGAACATCCTTGGGCAAGGGAATTAAATTTTGTATAAACAGAGAGTGTGGCTCTCCCAGGGGCAGAGGGGCGGGCCCGTTTGGGAGAACAGGGGATAATGATTAAATTTCTTTTTTTTGTACGAATGGAGGGATTTGAACCAAATTTGGTGTAGAGCATCGATATCCTTGGGCAAAAATGACTCAGTTTTGTATAAATGGAGGATGTGGACCCCCTGGGGACAGAGGGATGGGGTCCATTAGGGAGAGCATAGGGGAAAATATTTCCAATCCTTCTCCTTCTGTATGAATGGAGGAATTTGAACCAAATTTTGTGTAGGGCATCTTTGGGTAAAGTGGACTCAATTTTGTATAGATGGAGGATGTGGCCCCTTGGGAGTCTCCGGATCACCAACTATAGGTCTGAAGATCATTGGTAGATTTCAGGCAAATGTATTCAGAACCTTGCTCTTTGATTGCTTTTGAAAACAATTCACTTTTGTGTATCTTTGGAAGACCATAAAAATAACTTACAAAGATATACAAAGATGATATATATATATATATAAAAAAAAAACCAAGAGTTTCTTAGTACCTATATATATATATATATTTTGAAAAAGAGATTATGTGTTGGCCCCCCTGCACCTACTGCAGAATAAATGCTTTTGGAATAAGTGAAAATAGCGGATAAAGTAATGCCTACGTCATTTTTTTTGCTGAGAAATACATGTTAAGGCTTGTGTAACATACACTCAAATGAGTCTGACCCTTTATGACCAGGAACATCTGTGAAAAGATCAAGTGACCAGTAATAGTCTGACCCTTTATGACCAGGAACATCTTTGAAATGATCAAGTGACCTGTAATAGTCTGAACCCTTTATGACCAGGAACATCTGCAAAACGATCAAGTGACCAGTAATAGTCTGACCCTTTATGACCAGGAACATCTTTGAAATGATCAAGTGACCTGTAATAGTCTGAACCCTTTATGGCCAGGAACATCTGTAAAACGGTCAAGTGACCTGTAATAGTCGGAACCCTTTATGACCAGGAACATCTGTGAAACGATCGAGTGACCTGTAATAGTCTGACCCTTTATGACCAGGAACATACATCTGTGAAAAGATCAAGTGACCAGTAATAGTCTGACCCTTTATGACCAGGAACATCTGTGAAAAGATCAAGTGACCAGCAATAGTCTGACCCTTTATGACCAGGAACATCTGTGAAACGATCGAGTGACCTGTAATAGTCTGACCCTTTATGACCAGGAACATACATCTGTGAAAAGATCAAGTGACCAGTAATAGTCTGACCCTTTATGACCAGGAACATCTGTAAAACGGTCAAGTGACCTGTAATCGTCTGAACCCTTTATGACCAGGAACATCTGTGAACCGATCAAGTGACCTGTAATAGTCTGACCCTTTATGACCAGGAACATACATCTGTGAAAAGATCAAGTGACCAGTAATAGTCTGACCCTTTATGACCAGGAACATCTGTGAAATGATCGAGTGACCTGTAATAGTCTGAACCCTTTATGACCAGGAACTTCTGTAAAACGGTCAAGTGACCTGTAATAGTCTGAACCCTTTATGACCAGGAACTTCTGTAAAACGGTCAAGTGACCTGTAATAGTCTGAACCCTTTATGGCCAGGAACATCTGTAAAACGGTCAAGTGACCTGTAATAGTCTGAACCCTTTATGGCCAGGAACATCTGTAAAACGGTCAAGTGACCTGTAATAGTCGGAACCCTTTATGACCAGGAACATCTGTGAAACGGTCAAGTGACCTGTAATAGTCTGAACCCTTTATGGCCAGGAACATCTGTAAAACGGTCAAGTGACCTGTAATAGTCTGAACCCTTTATGGCCAGGAACATCTGTAAAACGGTCAAGTGACCTGTAATCGTCTGAACCCTTTATGACCAGGAACATCTGTGAAATGATCAAGTGACCTGTAGAAGTCTGAACCCTTTATGACCAGGAACATCTGTAAAATGGTCAAGTGACCTGTAATAGTCTGAACCCTTTATGACCAGGAACATCTGTGAAACGATCAAGTGACATGTAATAGTCTGAACCCTTTATGACCAGGAACATCTGCAAAACGATCAAGTGACCAGTAATAGTCTGACCCTTTATGACCAGGAACATCTGTAAAACGGTCAAGTGACCTGTAATAGTCTGACCCTTTATGACCAGGAACATCTGCGAAACGATCAACTGACCTGTAATAGTCTGAACCCTTTATGACCAGGAACATCTGTAAAATGGTCAAGTGACCTGTAATAGTCTGACCCTTTATGACCAGGAACATCTGCGAAATGATCAACTGACCTGTAATAGTCTGAACCCTTTATGACCAGGAACATCTGTGAAGTGATCAAGTGACCTGTAATAGTCTGAGCCTTTATGACCAGGAACATACACTCAAATGAGTCTGACCCTTTATGACCAGGAAAATCTGTGAAACGATCAAGTGACCTGTAATAGTCTGAACCCTTTATGACCAGGAACATCTGCAAAACGATCAAGTGACCTGTAATAGTCTGAACCCTTTATGACCAGGAACATCTGTGAAACGATCAAGTGACCTGTAATAGTCTGAACCTTTATGACCAGGAACATCTGTGAAACGATCAAGTGACCTGTTATAGGGACTCTTTTTCAACTACTAATGCACTTTAATTGTAGAGAATGTGCTGAGAATATATGACAGAAATAATGAAGTACGTATATAAATCATTGTAGGTAACATATCCCTCCAGGAAGACACTGAAGTATATATATAAATCATTCTAGGTAACATATCCCTCCAGGAGGACACTGAAGTATACATATAAGTCATTGTAGGTAACATATCCCTCCAGGAGTACACTGAAGTATATATATAAGTCATTGTAGGGAACATATCCCTCCAGGAAGACACTGAAGTATATATATAAGTCATTGTAGGTAACATATCACTCCAGGAGGACACTGAAGTATACATATAAGTCATTGTAGGTAACATATCCCTCGAGGAAGACACTGAAGTATATATATAAATCATTCTAGGTAACATATCCCTCCAGGAGGACACTGAAGTATACATATAAGTCATTGTAGGTAACATATCCCTTCAGGAGGACACTGAAGTATATATATAAATCCTTGTAGGTAACATATCCCTCCAGGAGGACACTGAAGTATATATATAAGTCCTTGTAGGTAACATATCCCTCCAGGAAGACACTGAAGTATATATATAAGTCATTGTAGGGAACATATCCCTCCAGGAAGACACTGAAGTATATATATAAATCATTTTAGGTAACATATCCCTTCAGGAAGACACTGAAGTATCTATATAAGTCATTGTAGGTAACATATCGCTCCAGGAAGACACTGAAGTATATATATAAATCATTGTAAGTAACATACAAATGTATCCCTCCAGGAGGGCACTGAAGTATATATATAAATCATTGTAGTTAACATATCCCTCCAGGAAGACACTGAAGTATATATATAAATCATTTTAGGTAACATATCCCTTCAGGAAGACACTGAAGTATATATATAAATCATTCTAGGTAACATATCCCTCCAGGTGGACACTGAAGTATATATATAAATCATTGTAAGTAACATACAAATGTATCCCTCCAGGAGGGCACTGAAGTATATATATAAATAATTGTATATGTCATTGTAGGTAACATATCCCTCCAGGAGGGCACTGAAGTATATATATAAATCATTGTAGGTAGCATCTCCCTCCAGGAGTACACTGAAGAATATATATAAATCATTGTAGGTAACACATCCCTCCAGAAAGAAACACTGAAGTATATATATAAATCATTGTAAGTAACATACAAATGTATCCCTCCAGGAGGGCACTGAAGTATATATATAAATCATTGTAGATAACATATAATGAAGTACGTATATAAATCATTGTAGGTAACATATCCCACCAGGAAGACACTGAAGTATATATATAAATCATTCTAGGTAACATATCCCTCCAGGAGGACACTGAAATATATATATAAGTCATTGTAGGTAACATATCCCCCCAGGAGGACACTGAAGTATACATATAAGTCATTGTAGGTAACATATCCCTCCAGGAAGAAACTGAAGTATATATATAAATCATTGTAGGTGACATTTCCCTCCAGGAGGGCACTGAAGTATATATATAAATCATTGTAGGTGACATTTCCCTCCAGGAGGGCACTGAAGTATATATATAAATCATTGTAGTTAACATATCCCTCCAGGAAGACACTGAAGTATATATATAAATCATTGTAGGTAACACATCCCTCCAGGAAGAAACACTGAAGTATATATATAAATCATTGTAGGTAACATTTCCCTCCAGGAGGGCACTGAAGTATATATATAAATCATTGTAGGTAGCATATCCCTCCAGGAGTACACTGAAGAATATATATAAATCATTGTAGGTAACATATCCCTTCAGGAAGACACTGAAGTATATATATAAATCATTGTAGATAACATATCCCTACAGGAGGGCACTGAAGTATATATATAAATCATTGAAGGTAACATATCCCTCCAGGAGGACACTGAAGTATATATATAAATCCTTGTAGGTAACATATCCCTCCAGGAGGACACTGAAGTATATCTATAAATCATTGTAGGTAACATATCCCTCCAGGAGGACACTGAAGTATATCTATAAATCATTGTAGGTAACATATCCCTCCAGGAGGACACTGAAGTATATCTATAAATCATTGTAGGTAACATATCCCTCCAGGAAGACACTGAAGTATATATATAAGTCATTGTAGGTAACATATCCCTCCAGGAGGACACTGAAGTATATATAAATCATTGTAGATAACATAGCCCTTCAGGAAGACACTGAAGTATATATATAAGACCTTGTAGGTAACATATCCCTCCAGGAGGACACTTAAGTATATATATAAGTCATTGTAGGTAACATATCCCCCCAGGGGGACACTGAAGTATATATATAAGTCGTTGTAGGGAACATATCCCTCCAGGAAAACACTGAAGTATATATATAAATCATTGTAGGTAACATTTCCCTCCAGGAGGGCACTGAAGTATATATATAAATAATTGTAGGTAACATATCCCTTCAGGAAGACACTGAAGTATATATATAAGACCTTGTAGGTAACATATCCCTCCAGGAGGACACTTAAGTATATATATAAGTCATTGTAGGTAACATATCCCCCCAGGGGGACACTGAAGTATATATATAAGTCGTTGTAGGGAACATATCCCTCCAGGAAAACACTGAAGTATATATATAAATCATTGTAGGAAACATTTCCCTCCAGGAGGGCACTGAAGTATATATATAAATAATTGTAGGTAACATATCCCTTCAGGAAGACACTTAAGTATATATATAAATCATTGTAGATAACATATCCCTCCAGGAGGCCACTGAAGTATATATATAAGTCATTGTAGATAACAGATCCCTCCAGGAGGGCACTGAAGTATATATATAAATCATTGTATATAACATATCCCTCAAGGAGGACACTGAAGTATATATAAATCATTGTAGATAACATATCCCTTCAGGAAGACACTGAAGTATATAAATAAATCATTGTAGATAACATATCCCTACAGGAGGGCACTGAAGTATATATATAAATCATTGTATATAACATACCCCTCCAGGAGGACACTGAAGTATATATAAATCATTGTAGATAACATATCCCTTCAGGAAGACACTGAAGTATATATGTAAGTCATTGTAGGTAACATATCCCTCCAGGAGGACACTGAAGTATATCTATAAATCATTGTAGGTAACATATCCCTCCAGGAAGACACTGAAGTATATATATAAGTCATTTTATGTAACATATCCCTCCAGGAGGACACTGAAGTATATATAAATCATTGTAGATAACATAGCCCTTCAGGAAGACACTGAAGTATATATATAAGACCTTGTAGGTAACATATCCCTCCAGGAGGACACTGAAGTATATCTATAAATCATTGTAGGTAACATATCCCTCCAGGAAGACACTGAAGTATATATATAAGTCGTTGTAGGTAACATATCCCTCCAGGAAAACACTGAAGTATATATATAAATCATTGTAGGAAACATTTCCCTCCAGGAGGGCACTGAAGTATATATATAAATAATTGTAGGTAACATATCCCTTCAGGAAGACACTTAAGTATATATATAAATCATTGTAGATAACATATCCCTACAGGAGGGCACTGAAGTATATATATAAATCATTGCAGGTAACATATCCCTCCAGGAGGACACTGAAGTATATCTATAAATCATTGTAGGTAACATATCCCTCCAGGAGGACACTGAAGTATATATATAAATCATTGTATATAACATATCCCTCCAGGAGGACACTGAAGTATATATAAATCATTGTAGATAACATATCCCTTCAGGAAGACACTGAAGTATATATATAAGTCATTGTAGGTAACATATCCCTCCAGGAGGACACTGAAGTATATATATAAGTCGTTGTAGGTAACATATCCCTCCAGGAAAACACTGAAGTATATATATAAATCATTGTAGGTAACATATCCCTCCAGGAGGACACAGTGGAGAATCTCTTGTCCACATCCTGTCTGCTCCAACTGTCCGAGGTGGTGGAGGCGTGCTGTAACTTCCTGATGAAACAACTCCACCCCTCCAACTGTATCGGGATCCGACAATTTGCTGATGCTCAGGGCTGTACAGATCTCTATAAAGTTGCCAACAACTATGTCATGGTAAGTCACTATAGTGTACAAACTTATATTAATTAATATCTGCTGTTTTTGTTTGAAAAAACATGCTCGTGGTACTGTGTATCCCTGCCATGTTGAATAGGACCTTTCAGAGTGTTTTAGGCATACTTAGCAACATTTTGAAATTTCAATAAGAAGAGTCCATGTATTCAAAGTTATAAACATAGATAAATTGTCTGTATATACATGTATACCTCCTAGGAAACATATCACACTTTAAAATGACTTATTTTGAGTTTTTCTTTCAGTGAAAATCATTAGTTTCATCAGAATCTAGGAAACTTAAAAGTTGGCAAATTAATTGGTTTGAAATATCAAATTTAAGGGTCCAAAATTGAGAGTCTCCCTAAATCATAAAAAGGATTTTCAAGTATGTTTTAAGATAAGCATTTTATGAAACTTCCATTCAGTTAGAGCTGTGTAAGTTGATGTACAACTTAACTATCTGCTGCCCCCTGCTAGCCAGATGATTATCATGGCATTTTAGTTAGAATCCATTTTGAAGTTTGTCTGGCCATGAATTTGTCCAGTCTGACTTATGGCCACTGCTGGGTCAATAAGAGTGGTCTGAGTATATTGACATGTATATGTGGTATAGCTAAAAGCCTCCTTCACTGATGCCAGAACTCTTCTGAAGACAGAGGGTCTAGTATTGTACCATGTTGGGCGATTTATCTCAATGGCTTCCACTGTGACCACATTTCAACTGTATTGTTGTATGTCCTATCAAAGACAGAGACTCATCAGATACCCTATCTGGGACTAGAACCAATCATGTGGACCCTCAGACTCTGTCCGACAAGGCGTGTTTTGTTCATTGACAATGTGAGGCTGCAGAAGCAGTGGACCAGTGTGATATCTGAAGGGACATAACACACAGTCAGAGACTACGAAGCCGATCAAGTGGACCCATTTGATATCTGACAAGGTGTGATTTAGTAGCTGGAAGCAGGGGATGAGAGTATTTATGTGCCCAAAAGCTGCATCCTGGAAGGCACTAAATCTGCTCCCAGACTCCAAACATTGATTGTCGCTGATACCATTGACAAAGTGTGCTCTAAAATGTCACATATAATATTGATAGTGTGAAAATGTCATACACCATCTCTGTGGGGAATACTACGGAGTTAACTTCCTTGGTACCCATCTAAGGTCATGTGACTTTGTCCTGGGTTATACTGTATGTACATCTCCAATTTCTGATTTTCTGTTTTATGTAACATACATAATTCTGACCTTTAATTCGAGGAATTACATTTGGATCACTAATGGGACGTTCACACAGTGCCGATTATGGCTCCTGTTTGAGATCAGACAGTGCTACGACACGAAAAGTGGAAAAGTCTGATTACTGTCCTCAATGATCTGGAATATGTGCTATCATTGTCTGAACACAGTCGTATACGTTTGTAACAGAGTCGTATGGATTGGGGAAAGGTCCGGAGAGGTAAGGTGCGTCCCATAACACTCGGGAAACTCAGCCGATTCTGTCTAGTCAGATTACAATCGTGACTATGTCGTGACAGATTCTGCTGTATTGGATCACAAATCGTTACAATGTCCTGTGTTGTCTGGATGGTGTCCTATGGATCAGGAGTCTGTCATGATGAACGGGCATGATTTGGAGAAATGTTTCATTGCCATGTCTTGCCGATTGAGTCCAGATTGTGTCCAGATCTTGCCATCAGTGTCGGTTCACTGTCCGGTCCCTGTCTGATCTGTCGGATCTCATTCGGGGGGACAGATTCGGTCGTTTTTAGCTCACCTGGCCCTGGCGTCCGGCGTCAACTTTTTACTTTAAACAACTTCTTCTCAGTAACCAAAAGGCCTATAGGGTGATGATATTTGGCCAGAATCATGCTGGGATGAAGGGCTACCAAGTTTGTTCAAATAAATGACGTTGTCTTATATTCAAGGTCACAGGGGTCAAATATGTTAAAATATTTAAACAACTTCTTCTGAATAACCAAGAGGCATAGGGTGATGATATTTGGCCAGTTACATGCTGAAATGAAGGGCTACCAAGTTTGTTCAAATGAATGACATTGAATCATATGCAAGGTCACTGGGGTCAAATATGTTGAAAACATTTAAACAACTTCTGATGAATATCCAAGAGGCCTAGGATGATGACATTTGGCCAGTAACATGCTGGGATGAAGGGTTAATAAGTTTGTTCAAATGAATAACCTTCGCCCATGTTCAAGGTCACAGTGGTCAATATATGTTTAAATCTTTAAATGATTTGTTCTATATACCCAAAAAGTCCAGGGTAATGATATTTTACTAGAAGCATGCTGGGTTGGAAGACTATAAATTTTGTTCAACCTAATGTTCTTGTTCGACATTCAAGGTCACAGGCGTCATATGTTTAAATATTTTAATAGGTTCTTATTACTCAAACACTGATATTCTGCCTGTAGTTGTATTTTAGTCCACTTTTAAGATAACAAGTGTGAAATTAATACCAGGTGAGCGATTCAGGCCCATTGGGCCTCTTGTTTACCATGCGCTAGATCCAAATCGGATAAGATTCGGATTAAGAACGGGAGAATCGGGACGCTTCCTGAACAATATCTCATTGTTGTCATGATTACATAAATGTTTTTACAAATTTGTGAATTTCCCGCCACCAATTTATCACAGGATCTTGATCAGACTTGTGACAAATTTTAATCGGGTATGGTCCTATCAAGAAGGGCAGTACAAATCCTGAATGTGTGACTGAGGCCTAAGTTGATCTCTTATGTTTGAATATGGATGCATTAATGTGACTGAATTCTAACTAACTGCACAGTTTTATGCATTAACTGTTAATTGGGAATCTGATTTTTGTGGAAATTTGCTCTTTAATTTCAGGAATGCATTTCTTTTCACAGTGACAATAAATGTTTTTGTTGACCTGGAAAACATTAGCTTTCATTCCAGAAAACTTTAGCAAAATACAGTGTGATTTCAACTCGTGAGGTGCAGAAGTCATCTGAGTGTTTTGAGTAATTAGATGGAGTATGCAACATTAGCTTGTTTGATTTATCATGGTGTTCATAATTTGTAAGAAAAACCTTGAGATTATGTAGGTTTATAAGGACAGAAGTAGGAGGGGTAAAATAATTAGGTGTATATATGGTAAATAAGATGCATCAGTTTGGAAATATCTACACCTAATCAGTAACCTATTTGATACAGTGTTTATACACTCTCTATCGACAGGTGAAATGTCATGTGACGAGTGAAATATGATATATACAGTGTTTATACACCCTCTATCGACAGGTGAAATGTCATGTGTAGAGTGACATATGATATATACAGTGTGTATACACTCTCTATCGACAGGCAAAATGTCATGTGACGAGTGACATATGATATATACAGTGTTTATACACCCTCTATCGACAGGCAAAATGTCATGTGACGAGTGACATATGATATATACAGTGTGTATACACCCTCTATCGACAGGCAAAATGTCATGTGACGAGTGACATATGATATATACAGTGTGTATACACCCTCTATCGACAGGTGAAATGTCATGTGACGAGTGACATGTGATATATACAGTGTGTATACACCCTCTATCGACAGGCAAAATGTCCTGTGTTGAGTGACATATGATATATACAGTGTGTATACACCCTCTATCGACAGGCGAAATGTCCTGTGTTGAGTGACATATGATATATACAGTGTGTATATACCCTCTATATCGACAGGCAAAATGTCATGTGACGAGTGACATATGATATATACAGTGTTTATACACCCTCTATCGACAGGCAAAATGTCATGTGTTGAGTGACATATGATATATACAGTGTGTATACACCCTCTATATCGACAGGCAAAATGTCATGTGACGAGTGACATATGATATATACAGTGTATATACGCTTCCCTCGCTTACCGGAAGAAACAGACGAATCTCTCTTACGGTAAGTTGAGGGTAGCTTTGGAACAATGAAGTCCTTGTCCTGAGATTTAGTCTGTGAAAAAAGTTCACAAGGCGAAACCTCACTGCAAGGACGACACCTGGGACATCATGAGGGTCCCCTTCCACGAAGAAATGGGAACACCCATGAGCTCTACCTCGTCGCTGTCCTGACCGAGACATACCCTCCAAAGCGAAAGTAAACAAAAATTTACAAGCAGATAAACACGGGAAAAAATAATAAAATACGATAGTACAAAGTACGCAACGTAGAAAGAATTTCACCCGTAATATAAATCAGAAAACGGTTAAAATAAATAACGTTTGCCGAAACAAACAACCGTCACTGAAATAAACAGAGGTCGGAAATTAACCCACAATAATGGCGGACCGCGTGGCACACCACCGGCACACGTCGAGTAAAATAACCGTCCGTAAAAGGCACAAAAATAATTTTCAACAATTATTAATTGTATTAACAAGGGCAGATGGGTATAAGCTAAAAAGGCACACAAACTGTGCAATAAATTGTGTTGACACTCTAACCAAACCGACAAAACAAAGTTTTGAAATGGAGCTAGCTCCGGGCGTCAGCAGGCGCCATAAAAGGAAGAGGCAGGGAGATCACTCCGTGGCTCTGTCGTCGAGATATGGGTTACGTCACGGTAGGGAGGTAGGGGTATTTGAATCTTTTGTTTTTGGGCTACAAAGATGGGTGTAGGTATTGTATATGCATACTAAAGTTATGGTAAGTATTACATCATGAAAATTAGTTTTACTATAAAAACCTATAGTTTGGTTGCATTTACCTGAGAGGTGTTTCCCCAGATAATATTTGCTGACATATGAGAGGTAGACAATGTACAAATGGTTGAATTCTTGACTACCAACTTGATTATTCTGCATCCAGCACTGCAGGTGTGTTTAAGTGTTTGGTGTAAAAAGGGTGGTTGACTTGTGTAAGGTAACATAAAATTGGTATTTCACCCTTGTGTATTGACAGAGAATAAGTACTCTAGTTTATAGAGCTTTGAGGAAACTTATGCTGTCGACTAAAGGTTAGGTGAAGACAATTCACGATGATGTTTATTTACATTACATGGATAGGAAGGTGATGGTACAAGTTTTAATGGTTGTGGAGGGACCTCACTCATAGTTGCTGCTGAAGTTTGAGCTTTCTAGCTGTGTTTCCAAGCCTGTGTTAAGTGCTATGCTTAGCAATACAGTATGAACTATATACATGTTAATGGTTTAATTTAATGATTAACATTACTATGTACATGTTAATGGTTTAAGTTAATGATTAACATTATTATGTACATGTTAATGGTTTAATTTAATGATTAACATAACTATGTACATGTTAATGGTTTAAGTTAATGATTAACATTACTATGTACATGTTAATGGTTTAATTTAATGATTAACATTTATCTGGTAAGCTACAAAATCCAGTGGAAAGCTACAAAATCTTTAGGGTAACCTACAAAATTCATATGGTAAACGACCAAATCCAAACAGTAGGCAACAAATGCTATATGATTAGCTACAAAATCTATATGATAAGTTACAGAATCCATATGGTAAACTTCCAGTTCCATATGGTAAGCAATAGTATGCTAAATACTTATAGCTGTATTAGTCTACATATAGCATAGTATGAAATACTGTTTAGTTGCTAAAATTCACAAGGCTATTACGGTAAACCTCCGGTCAGTTCGAATAGGCGGATAGTTCGAATACACTTTTTGAACAATATAAGAATAATAATTTTCTTTCTAGTGATAGTTCGAACCCTGCTTACGCACATTTCAGATTGTTCGAACACACAACTTGAGTACTGAACTTACAAAATTATTGATCCAAGTTGGCTATCGGCGATGCAATAATAACCTCGCGAAACTTGCTTAAACTTGATCTATTTGCGCATTGACAGCGTTTAACTACTGAATAACGGGTAGTACTCATGTGCCACCATTGTTGTCATCAATGTCGGAAAATTTGTGTATAAACAAGTCACATGTCACCGATAATTGAGTTTCTTTCTTGTAAACATGTGCATGTGCCAGTCAAACATCTTTAGGCCCCGACCATGTATAATATCCTAACAGTACACGGAGCGTGGAATGTTAACGTCACATCGCTGACAGAGACCATGTATAATATCCTAACAGTACAAAGAGGGTGAAATGTTACCGTCCCATCGCTGACAGAGACAATGTTTAATATCCTAACAGTACCCGGAGCGTGGAATGTTGCCGTCACATCGCTGACAGAGCCCATGTATAATATCCTAACAGTACACGGAGCGTGGAATGTTACCGTAACATCGCTGACAGAGACCATGTTTAATATCCTAACAGTACACGGAGCGTGGAATGTTACCGTCACATCGCTGACAGAGACCATGTATAATATCCTAACAGTACACGGAGTGCGGAATGTTACAGTCACATCGCTGACAGAGACCATGTATAATATCCTAACAGTACACGGAGTGCGGAATGTTACAGTCACATCGCTGACAGAGACCATGTATAATATCCTAACAGTACACGGAGTGCGGAATGTTACAGTCACATCGCTGACAACATGTGTATTGTCATGATATTACTGTGATTACAATTTGATTATATAATGGCGACTTGGCCACCGATCACAGATTTATAACTTAATTGATATATTACTTATACATGTGCCAAAACAAAAATATCTGACCAGGTGGTCGATCAAACTATTAATCCTTACTTGCAGTTTCAATCCCCTCCTCCGCATTCTGATCAGTACAACTGAACTTTCGTCATTACTCTAGAAAACATCTACTGCTTTGCGGCCTACATACTTGTCTTTGCTTTGCAATTGAACTTAATAATTGATTATCAATATGTAAGTAAATATACGAAAGATATATATACCATTATTCATCTCCGGATTTGCAAATATATATCGCAATAAGACCGTTGTTGTTCCGTACCAATGACTTAACTGTTTGCTGTGATTTTTGTCGATGTTGACTTGGATAGTTTGAACTACTCTTTATTTTAGCAGCTATAATTTCGTGTAATTTGAACAGGATTGACAATATTTATCTAATTTTGTTCGAACTGACAGTAGGTTTACCGTAATTGAGTTAATTTCGCGAATGTCTCAAAATTTGTGAAATTTTGTAACTTGTGAATTTTTGAGTTGAAGCTACACACCTTGACATCATGTTGAAAGTTTAATAGATACAATTTAACTGTTATACATGGCCTGTTTATATCTACAGCATGATAACCAAGCCAGAAACAATATCACCTTGATCATAACAAATCACACACATACTTCAATTTCTCTAGAATTGGTTAAAGGATGCTGTTTGTATTTATTTACACACTGCAACCTCCACACAGTCAAATCACATACCTAATTTGATTTCAATTCAAATTGTTGCTTATAACAATATTGATCAAGAACAAGCTCTATAACAAAGTCCACAGTAAACTTATTTGTGAAATTCACTGGGGCTCGGTAAAGCAGAACTTCTGAGTTTTGATATAGGAGAGAGTAACAGGCAATTAAGTGTTTACTTATGCGTCACAACTGAATTCTAGACACTGATCAAATATTCTTGATTGACTTCTGACCTCCTATTTCCAGGACAACTTTGTACATGTGATGCAGAACCAGGAATTCCTGATCCTTCCCGCAGAGGAAGTTTGTCGTCTATTGTCTAATGATGACCTCAACGTTCCTGATGAGGAGACGATCTTCCAGGCGCTCAATATGTGGGCAAAACATGATATGGCCAGTAGGAAGAAGGTTCTCTCCAAACTACTGTCTCACATACGCCTTCCTCTAATGTCTCCCCAGGTAACCAGATTTTATTACTTAATTATTATTTTTAGCCCACCTGGCCCAAAGGGTGAGCTTATGCCATACCGCAGCGTCCGTCGTTTAAAACTCTCTACTAGTCCTGAACAGCCAAGTATGTTTTGACAAAATTTGGTCTGGAGCATGCTTAGGCCAAGGGGACTCAATTTTGACCCCCCCCCCACGGAGGCTGAGGGTGAGGGGCGGGGCCCAATAGGGGAAATGTAGCAAGTTCTTTAAAATCCTTCTTCTTCTGTAGGAATGAAAGGATTTGGTCCATATTTGGTCTGGAGCATCCTTGGGCAAAAGGGACTCATTTTCATATAATCAGCGAGTGTGGCCCAATAGGGGAAATAGAGGTAAACCTTTAAAATCCTTCTTCTACCATACGGATGAAGGGATTTCACCCCAATTTGGTCTGGAGGATCTTGGGCAAAAGGGCCTCAATTTTGTATAAACAGTGAGTGTGCCCCCCCCCCCCCTGGGGGCAGAAGGACCCGTACGGGGTCCAATAGGGGAAACATAGCAAATTCTTCAAATACCTTCTTCTGTACGAATGAAGGATTTTGTCCAAATTTGGTATGAAGCATCCTTGGGGGAAGTGGAACCAATTTTGTATAAACGTTGGGTGTGGCCCCCCCCCCCCCCCCCCCCCTGGGACCTGAGGGGTGGGGCCCAAAAGGGGAAATAGAGGTAAATCCTTTAAAATCCTTCTTCGACCTTAGGGATTAAGGGATTTTATCCTTATTTAGTCGAGAGCATCCTTGGGCCAAGGGAACTTAATTTTGGTTTTGGGTTTGACCCCCCTAGGGACATAGGGATGGATCTTTCTGAAATTGCATATGTACTTACAGCACCTACCATGGAGTGCTATATCTTTACTTCATACCAATTATTTTGAACATATTCTGGTGAGCGATACAGGCCCTCTGGGAAATCCATTGTTAGCGATTTAGTGGTTTCATTCCCTGAGGGATTTTGATCAAACTTCACACATTTACAAAGGACCATAATATTTCGAACAAGTTTGAGTTTCAGGGTTGTAGTGATAAGGTCAAGGCCTCCGTTACTGGTAATTGATTTAATACCACAAAAGCAACAAAATATAACAATAATTTTATTTTATATAATTCCTCTGTCATAATACTAACATTACAATATCTTGTATTATTATTACATTAAAATCAGTTACAAACTAATTGTATACATTTCATTTTCCTTAATTAACACCAAAGGGCACCATTTTTAGCTCACCTGGCACGAAGGGCCAAGTGAGCTTATGGCATGGCGCAGTGTCCGTCGTCCATCAATTTTTTCCTTTTAACTTAAGTCCTTAAGCATAATTGGCCAAAGGGTTCTCAGTTTTGTTTAAACGAAGGGTATGGGACCCCCTGGGGGCAGAGGGGCCGGGCCGAATAGGGGTAAAATAGGTCAATCTTTAAAAATCTTCTTCTTCTCAACCAATAGAAGGATTTTGACCAAATATGTTCTAGAACATCTTTGGACAAAGGAGCCTCAAGTTTGTATAAACAGAGGGTGTGGCACCTCTGGGGGCAGAGGGGCGGGGCCCAATAAGGGAAATAGAGGAACATTTTTCTCCTACTATATAAGTGAAGGGATTTAAACCAAATGCAGTCTGAAGCATGCTTAGGGACAAAAGAATCAATTTTGTATAAACTGAGGTGTGAGGGCCCCCTTGTTTGGGGCAGATGAGTGGGGCCCATTAGGGGAAATAGAGGAAAACATTAAAGATCTTTCTTCTTCTGTACCGATGAAGGGATTTTTACCAAATTTGTTCTGGAGCATCATTGGCCAAAGGGTTCTAAGTTTTGTATAAACGGAAGGTATAACCCCCCTGGGGGCAGAGGGGCGAGGCCAAATAGGGGGAAAATAGGTCAATCTTTAACAATTTTTTTCTCAACAAATAGAAGAATTTTGACCAAATTTGTTCTTCAGCATCTTTGGTCAAAGGAGCCTCAAGTTTGTATAAACGGAGGGTGTGGCCCTTCTGGGGGCAGAGGAGTGGGGCCCAATAGGGGAAATAGAGAACATTTTATCTCCTACTGTACAAGTGAGGGATTTAAACCAAACGTGGTCTGAAGCATGCTTAGGGGAAAAAACCCTCAATTTGTTTAATTTGTATAAAAAGGTGCATGTGAGGCCCAACAGAGGAAATAGAGGAAAATTGAAAATCGTTCTCCTTTTTTTCCGTCTTCGTCTGTCGTCATGCGTCGTCCGTTAACATTTTACATTTTCAACTTAAGCTGAAATACTGTCAAAGGGATTTCATTGATACTTCATGGGAATGTTACTGACAACTCCCTGACAAAGTGTTGTTATTTTTCGGGTCAATCAGAAATCTAATATGGCCGCCACGGCCGCCATTTTGAAAATAAATATTTCAAATTTAAAGTCAAGTTCTACTGGGCTGATTGGATTGAAACTTGGTAGGAATTATCAACTTTTGGTCCAGATAAAGTGTTGTTTTTTTTCGGGTTGATTAGAAATCCAATATTGCCACCACGGCCAGCCATTTTGAAAAACTATTTTAAACTTAAAGTCAAGTTCTACTGGGCCGATTTAACTGAAACATCGTAGGAATGATACACTCATGGTCATGCCAAAGTGTTGTAATTTTTCGGGTTGATCAGAAATCCAATATGGCTGCCACAGCCGCCATTTTTGAAAAACTATTTCAAACTTAAAGTCATGTTCTAAAAGGCCGATTTAACTGAAACTCGGTCTAGGAATGATCAACTCATGGTCCTGACAAACTTAACTAAACGTTATACTTAACTTTTTTAGGTCACCTGAGCTTTAGCTCAAGTGACCTATTGCTATCCGTTTTCGTCCGTCGTCGTCCGTCGTCCGTTAACATTTTACATTTCAAACTTAAAGTCAAGTTCTGCTGGGCCGATTGAACTGGAAGTTGGTAGGAATGATCGCCTCATGGTCCTGACAAAGTGTTGTTATTTTTCGGGTCGATCAGAAATCCAATATGGCCGCCACGGCCGCCATTTTGAAAACCTATTTCAAACTTAAAGTCAAGTTCTGCTGGACCGATTGAACTGAAAGTTGGTAGGAATGATCGCCTCATGGTCCTGACAAAGTGTTGTTATTTTTCGGGTCGATCAGAAATCCAATATGGCCGCCACGGCCGCCATTTTGAAAACCTATTTCAAACTTAAAGTCAAGTTCTGCTGGACCGATTGAACTGAAAGTTGGTAGGAATGATCGCCTCATGGTCCTGACAAAGTGTTGTTATTTTTCGGGTCGATCAGAAATCCAATATGGCCGCCACGGCCGCCATTTTGAAAACCTATTTCAAACTTAAAGTCAAGTTCTGCTGGACCGATTGAACTGAAAGTTGGTAGGAATGATCGCCTCATGGTCCTGACAAAGTGTTGTTATTTTTCGGGTCGATCAGAAATCCAATATGGCCGCCACGGCCGCCATTTTGAAAACCTATTTCAAACTTAAAGTCAAGTTCTGCTGGACCGATTGAACTGAAAGTTGGTAGGAATGATCGCCTCATGGTCCTGACAAAGTGTTGTTATTTTTCGGGTCGATCAGAAATCCAATATGGCCGCCACGGCCGCCATTTTGAAAACCTATTTCAAACTTAAAGTCAAGTTCTGCTGGACCGATTGAACTTAAAGTTTGTAGGAATGATCGACTCATGGTCCTGACAAAGTGTTGTTATTTTTCAGGTCAATCATAAATCCAATATGGCCGCCACGGCCACCATTTTGAAAACATATTTCAAACTTAAAGTCAAGTTCTGCTAGGCCGATTGAACTGAAACTTTGTAGGAATGATTGACTCATGGTCCTGACAAAGTGTTGTTATTTTTCGGGTCGATCAGAAATCCAATATGGCCACCACGGCTGCCATTTTGGTAAACTATTTCAAACTTAAAGTAAAGATCTACTTGGCCGATTGAACTGAAACTTTGTAGGAATGATCGAATCATGGTCCTGACAAAGTGTTGTTATTTTTCGGGTCAATCAGAAATACAATTTGGCTGCCATGGCCGCTATTTTGCTACTAAGTTCTAATAGGCCGATCTCACTTAAAATTGGTCTAGGAATGATCAGCTCATGGTCCTGACAAAGTTAAGTTAACATTATACTATTTTTTACTCAAATTGGTACATATTTCAACAACAAAAATAAATACTGTAGACTCAGGTGACCGTTTAGGCCCATGGGCCTCTTGTTTACTCAAATTTTGGTAGGGATGATTGACATCATTATCTCCACTTCATATTTCAACAACAAAAATTAATACTGTATGACTCGGGTGACTGTTAAGGCCCATGTGCCTCTTGTTTATTAATGAAGGGATTTCCATCAAACTTCTAGCTCTAGAAGTTTGATGAAAATCCCTTCATTAATACTCTTTGGGAAAAGAACCCCCACCCTCCCAACCCCCCCGGAAGTCCAGTCCAGACCAATCCCTGGAGGCTTTCTTGGTGTCTTACCCACCAAAACAGATTAACATGTAGTTGTTTTTGCAACTTTGTTTCTTGTACTCCTTTGATAAACCTGTATGGTACTCAGTAGGTTTAAAATTGAAATAAAATACCAGGTGAGCTATTAAGGCCCCTGGGCCTCTTTTTATAAATCATTACAGTGTAATAGCTAGCGAGGGACGGTAGGGGACATGTATTGCTTTAGAAATCCTAAGTATGCTTGTTGTTTATGCTATGTTTCTATGGTTACAGTTTATTGCTGACCATGTTGAGACGAACGCCTTGTTTCGTGAGGACAAGGAATGCCAGTATCTGATCATGGAGGCACTCAAGTACCACCTCCTCCCTGAGAGACGCTCATCATTCCAAAGCCCGAGAACCAAACCGAGAAAGTCCACTGTGGGTGTTCTGTATGCTGTTGGAGGGATGGACTGTACAAAAGGTACTTCCTTGTACAAATATTGAATACTTGATATTCACACTTCATTTTGTGGTCAAGTGGATATTCATAGGTCATTAAGAAGGAGTACACATATTTGAGTTTTCTAACCTCCTTCATTCCTGATAAAATAGGTCATATGCATTACAAAAATTTATCAGACTTTACCCTCTGTCACTGAACATGATCAGCCTTTTCCCTCTGTCATTGAACATGATCAGCCTTTTCCCTCTGTCACTGAATGTGATCAGCCTTTTCCCTCTGTCATTGAACATGATCAGCCTTTTCCCTCTGTCACTGAACGTGATCAGCCTTTTCCCTCTGTCACTGTATATGATCAGCCTTTTCCCTCTGTCACTGAACGTGATCAGACTTTTCCCTCTGTCATTGAATGTGATCAGCCTTTTCCCTCTGTCACTGAACATGATCAGCCTTTTCTCTCTGTCACTGAACATGATGAGCCTTTTCCCTCTGTCATTGAACATGATCAGCCTTTTCCCTCTGTCACTGAACGTGATCAGACTTTTTCCTCTGTCACTGAATATGATCAGCCTTTTCCCTCTGTCACTGAACATGATCAGCCTTTTCCCTCTGTCACTGAACGTGATCAGACTTTTCCCTCTGTCAGTGAACGTGATCAGACTTTTCCCCCTGTCACTGAACGTGATCGCCCTTTTCCCTGTCACTGAACATGATCGCCCTTTTCCCTATGTCACTGAACGTGATCGCCCTTTTCCCTCTGTCACTGAACGTGATCATCTTTTTCTCTCTGTCACTGAACGTGATCAGACTTTTCCCTCTGTCATCCTTTTCCCTGTCACTGAACGTGATCATCCTTTTCTCTCTGTCACTGAACGTGATCAGACTTTTCCCTCTGTCACTGAACGTGATCGCCAATTCCCTCTGTCACTGAACGTGATCGCCCTTTTCTCTCTGTCACTGAACGTGATCAGACTTTTCCCTCTGTCACTGAACGTGATCAGACTTTTCCCTCTATCACTGAACATGATCAGACTTTTCCCTCTGTCACTGAACGTGATCGCCCATTTCCCTCTGTCACTGAACGTGATCAGACTTTTCCCTCTGTCAGTGAACGTGATCAGACTTTTCCCTCTGTCACTGAACGTGATCGCCCTTTTCCCTCTGTCACTGAACGTGATCAGGCTTTTCCAATGTGTTACATACCACCAGTCGTGATATCTGTTACCGATGTGTTACATACCACCAGTTGTGATATATAACTGTTTGTAAGTTAATGGATAAGCACCTCGGTTAGAAAAATACTGAACAAGTTTGAACTCTCCTTTGTTAGAGGTATAATACAGAATGCTGAGGCTATCTTCCTTAACAAGCTTATGGTTCTTCTGTTAGCTGTATAAATTTACTACCTGATTTCCAGAATTTTAAATTTTTCTAGTAAGATAGGTATTAATACCTTCTTTTAAGTCCTTATTTCCTGTACTACTTATTATTTCTGACAATTTTAATGTTTTCATAATATTTATGTCCAGATGATCAAGGTTGTTCTTTCAACAAAGAGCAATTCAAAATTCTTATCTATTTATTTGAGCGAATTTTTAAATTTTAACAGATTAGCCCATTGATAAACCAGTGCACAATAGAAAACAATATTCAGTTGCTTCAATTTAGTGCTTTCATAATTTATCACATATCTAAAGTGTGAAAAAGTACTGAAATTTGAAAACCCCAAAATTATGTATGCTTGCAGTATATGAATGTGTCTGCTGTGGTTAGTTTAAAGAGGTTTCACTATTAGATCTGAAGATGCTGGTATCAATATCTCACCTGTGACACACAGATCAACACAATAATACCAAACATGAACCATAGTCTCACCCAGCCATGTACTACACTACCCTCAACATGAATCATTTAAGGAATCAATATGGAATGTAACAAACTTTACCATCTATAAAGGAGATATGTGGGTGGATGGTGTAGAGGTGTTTGAGGCCGTTGTCAGACCGTTTTGTTTATATAATGGTTTGTGTGTCTGTCACCTTGATTTCTTATGTATTGTCACCTGTGATCCATATTTAATACCATTAGCCCTGATTCACCACCAGTATAGCCAATACAATACACCACACCTACTCCATCTCTTTGTCTATCTTAGTTTTCTCAGAATTTTCTATATATACATGTACAAGTAGATGATACATAAAAGAAAATGTTTATAGCGTTTAGGTAAGTCCTACATTGATAGATATTAAACATTGATTAGTTAAAACTAATTAGTTAAATAACTCTTATATGAATTGTGGTAAAAATGTATAAGGTAGTATATATAACCTTAACAGGAAAGTGTATTTAAGGACAGATGTGGTAAGTTTTAATTGGTCTGTGACAAGCTGCACCATCAATTATTGACCTTTACCACTTCCATACAACCTGACTATCAGTAATGAGGGACCAGGGAATACGGCAGGGGGCAACCTTTTCTGCCCCAGCTTCATCAGTTTCATTCTGGCCTCTGGGGATGCTACTTTTTATTCTTCTGAATGATTACGTGGATTCTTCTGTCTATTAAATTGTCAGACTAGTGAGTTTGAAAAGAAATTAATTGGCAGGCTGTCTTAGAATTTTTCAGAGATAACAGATTAAATCATTCATTTTTTTGTCAGTTTGGGGCAGATCCAGCTAGGGTATATATTCCTTATAAGGTGCTGAACATGGTACAGGTAGATGATCTAAAAGTGGGGCAGGTGAGAATGCCATCGATCTAAAAGTGGGGCAGGTGAGAACGCCATCAAAGTTGCATTATTATTACTTTCCCATTGATGGAAGTTACATTCGTCTGCCAATCTCTTTGAAGAATGAAATCTATTCAGTCTCGGCAGGAAATTAACTATCAATTAGACTGGGGACATACCATGATTTATTGATTCTATAGAAGGTTGTGGGTCTATGTTTCATTTAATTTGTAGTAAGGCAGTTTCTCAATGGTTTTAAATCTCTGTTAAGTATTTTTTCTGAATTTAATTTCAGTTAAAGTAACAAAATCTGTGGTTTTGCAATGTAAAAACTTTGTAAATTGTTATAATATCTTAAAAGGTTTTGAACCTAAGCAGTTATTGGTGTCTTACCCACCCAAACAGTTCTTGGTGTTTTACCCACCCAAACAGTTCTTGGTGTTTTACCCACCCAAACAGTTCTTTATATACAACTAAAACACGATTTATACATAACTTCACACAATGAAAGAGTTAACCTGTTTATTACTTGAGTTAAGACACAGATATGAATGTGCAAGCAAAGAACAAGTACTAAAACCTACTGTAAACATTTGGCGTATCAGGGGCTACTCACTCTATAACCTACTAATAGTAACAAATTATTCTCAAAATATTTTAACGGAAGCTAGACTCTACGAAGTCACAGAGAAGCTTGATAAAGATTTAACGGAAGCTAGACTCTGCGAAGTCACAGAGAAGCTTGATAAGGATTTAACGGAAGCTAGACTCTGCTAAGTCACAGAGAAGCTTGATAAAGAGCGCGAGCTAGACTCCAAAGAAAACAAGAGAAGCAGCTAGACTCTGAAAGTACCAGAGAAGCGACTAGACTCCTAATATCCATGGAGAAGCTATAAAAGACTATGAATTGGAAACGCTAGACTCCGAAGAAGGCAAGAGAAGTCACTAGACTCTGGAGGCATCCAGAGAAGCGACTAGACTCATAGCCACCCCAGAGAATGTATCTGTTAAATTTACCACGAGAAAACTGGCTACAGATAAAGTGAAGTAATA